AGGCATGAGGGCAGGCTCCCAGTGGACGTGCCCGCTTTTTGGAACATCACGTTTTCCGTCTCATTTTTTCCGGACAACGCTAAACTTTTGTGGAAGCCCCCAGCTTCCTACACGCTTGGCCCTGCTTCTGCAGCTTCAACAGGCCAGCGCTAGCAGCACCTCACCTCGCTTTCTTCACTGGGCAGTACCGCGGTGCTGCGAGTTTCGGCTTGCCAGTTTTCAGCCCGGGCTTTTCGCGACTGCAGCAGCTTCGACTTCGTGGCGGCTCCGCTTTGGCCGAAGACAGCAGTCACTTCCCGGCAAGCCGAAACAAAAAGGAGTGCAGTGCGAGTTCAGTGTACACGTCTTCAGCTTTGATGTTCACATGTCTTCATGTTTCCGCTTTGCCGTAAGTTGCTCGCACGCTGTAGCCTTTGTGTTAGTTGCGTGGTGTAGGACTTACCATGAACGGTCACTGTGTTTACTCAGGAGGGTTCCCGTCGCCTGCTTTGCAGCTCGAGCGGGACACCACTGCAACAACACAGCTTTGCATAGCTTACTTTTCTTTTCCCGCCCACCCACTCCTGGGCCAGAGCTTCCGAGGGGCCTTTTAGCTTTGTCCTCTCTGATCGCTCAACTTTCAGCTGCTTAGCCCGTTCTGTTACGGCTTAGCTTGTTCCATTTTTTCAGCCTCCTGTATACTGCATGCTTTTGCTTCTACTCTACGATACGGGCTTTTCGTGACTGCAGCAGCTTCGACTTCGTGGCGGCTCCGCTTTGGCCGAAGGCCGGCAAGCCACCAGACCAGACAGCAGTCACTTCCCGGCAAGCCGAAACAAAAAGGAGTTCAGTGCGAGTTCAGTGTACAAGTCTTCAGCTTTGATGTTCACATGTCTTCATGTTTCCACTTTGCCGTAAGTTGCTCGCACGCTGTAGCCTTTGCGTTAGTTGCATGGTGTAGGACTTACCATGAACGCCAAGCAGTTAAAAAGTCCGTTAGTCAGGGATCTCTACATTTTGTTGTCTGGAAGTGGCGTTTCCGAATTGTACTTACGTTATCATGCACCATGGTCTTTTCCCCGGGAGTCGCCATATCTTTATCCAGAATCCGCTTTGCTGGCAATGCAGTGCAGCTGTTACGCTGTACTCTGCTTGTAATTCGTTTCAGCGAATCAAATCTTGTTTTTTCAACCCATGCACTGCTGCATAGTGTTCGCGTAATACTCTAGTCCACGCCCATGCTCTTGGCCAAGAAGAATAATTTGGGGGTGCCAGAACTTGAAACAAAAACATTTTCAAGCTTTGCCACTTGCGTCGCAAGCACTGACCTGTCCTGCAGATTGTTGTTTTGTGCTTGAGATCAGCTGGAATTGCAATATCGACCGCTGCTTTGAATGCTCTGACAGGAGGCAAAATTTTCGTCCAACTGCAACGCCCGCCTTAGCGCGTTTCTGCCTATTAAAGTATTCTTCGACTGCAGTTTGCAGCTTGTGGGGGTGGTGCGTTGCCAGCACTGAACTCCTTGAATCCAACTTTGTGTGAGCCCTGGAACTCCGCATTCCGTGACTGCTTGTGCAGGATGCCATAGGCAGCTGCATCGATTGAACTGATTCCCCAAGTCACCGATGGTTCTAAAACAGTGGCTGTCAGTCGTTTGGTGCGACGTTGCAGTGAGAGAGCGTTTGTTCTTGAAACATGCATCTTGAGCAGTATGTGTGACATAAACGTGCGGCGATCCAACCAACATATGCCTTTCGTTTTCTCTGGCTCACGGCTTGAAAGGAAGATGTTTTGAAAACCTTTTTTTGTTGCATGGTTCGAGGCATACGACATATTATGAACGTATGTCGTGGCCATGTCTGCTTCAAGCGACAGTGTGGTCGCAGCAGATTACAACATAGTGTCGGAAGACATTCTACGATTAATTTTTCGCCTGCTATGTAGCTGCCGTCCCATTCCCCATTGTGGCATGTGACTTTCGGATGCGACTCAAGAGACATTCAGCCGACGTGGACGGCACTGAAATCATAGGGTGCCGAAGTGTGCCGTGTGTCAACAGTGTTCAGACCTCTCTTCGCCCACGAGGAGAAGCATTGATCCGAGTGAGCCAGTCAGTTTTTTGCTTGATTGTTGGATTGTTTTGAGGGTCACATTGAAGCGAGAAGACATTTTTGTTCAGTGTACAAATTTTCTCTCAAACATAACTTTTCATACATGCCTCATCACATTTGGTTCAACAGATCGTAAATGTACTTGCTTCGTGCGATCGTTCTGGAACCAGTTCTGGAAAGCCCAGTGTGAGACCAACGAAATCGCCGTATTCAATCTTCCGACAGGTTTACGCTCGTTCCTGCGAGCAGGGGCAGTCTTCGACCGCTGCTTTGTATCGTTGCTTTCCTTCCAGGGTGCTGATTTTCGTACAGCTGGTCGTTTACAAATTGTTGCATAACCTCGTAAATTTCTTCGTACTTGATGTGACTTCGCTGGATTCGTTGTCCATGTGCCGGTGGCTTAGCAGGTACCATCGTGGGTTCATGTGGATGTTTCGGTGTGAGATGTTTGTTCATTAAGCCAACCTTGGTCACATGCGAGTGGAAGGATGTTGAAACAAATGACAACCTTCCAAATCATCCACTGCACATCGCTGAAGTGCGAGTTGGGTTTTGGGATGTTTTCGTATGTGTTTTGCAGGCTTTGAAAACCAGGCCGTTTTCTGCAGCCAACCGATGCGGCGCGCGTACCAATTCGCGGCTCATTGCTGCCGAGGGGTCTGTCTAGTCTAGTGTAGAGCATTGCACCCACAATCACATGCCTCTGTAGTTTGAGTTCCCATGAAGCAGATGTGCTTGCACGAAGCAGACGCACAACATCAAGTTTGGATGTTCATGAAGACAGCCGGTGGGTCGTAGCGAACTTGGAAACCTTGTTGTGATCGCTTGTGTTTTCGTTCATGCGTCTTGTTTTGCAACTAAACTACCGCAAAAGGAAGGCGGACATAGAAAGATGTCGGCACTGGTGCGAATCACCACGGGTCGCGGCCCAACCTCGAAGGTGCCGTGCGTTATGTTTCAATATCGTTGTCCATGCACTGAGGCATCATGCCCCAGCACAGCCGAGTCGGGATGACGAGAGCAATGGCACAGTTCGGCGAGGTGGGAAAAATAAACTCGGCCTGTGCAGCTTCGTTGCCGCTGATTGGTCGAGGTCATTCACTGCCACAAGCCGCCCTATTCTGGAATTCCCGGTGAGGCACTTGTTGCATCACTCTTGCAAGAGATTTTGGCAAGTGAGGGGGAGGGAGAGAGGGATGGGGCGGAGGGCAGAGTCAGAGTCAAAGAGTCAGATTGCTCAGAGGGACACAAACTGAGGCACAGAGGGCCTCAGAACATGAGAGAAGTAAAAGTGATATCGGAGTTGGGAGGCCAGGGCCAGGGCCAGGGCCAGGGCCAGGGCCAGGGGGCCAGGGCCAGGGCGCCGAAAAGTTGCGCAGGACTTTGTCAATGTGCGCTTCGCTTCGCAAGAAGCAGCTGCCGGCGGCCAAGCTGTAGCCATGCCGGGGTCCGGTCTTGATGGCGCTCGTCACTACGTCACTATAGCCCTCGCAGCTGCAGGACCGTGCATACGCTGCCCTCAAAGCCAGCCAGGTTTTCGTAGATGGCTTCCCGGCTACTCGGATCGCGAATGCATTGCAGCACACGCTTTCGACCTGCGATTTTCAACCTCGCCGCCAGGTCGGGGTTGGTCCAGCAGGCGGGCCCAAGGGCAACGATGGTCTTTGCCTCAGAGAGGTGTCCCGGGGTGCTCGGGTATGGTGGGAGCCCAGGCCCAATGGCGATCTCCAACTCCGGCGGGGGGCCGCCCAGGACAGTGCCGCAAGGGTCGAATCGTTCCTGGCTGTTCCTGAAAGTCTGACAGAATGGACTTGAGCTTGAGGCGGCCTCGCAGTCGTAGCCCGCCGCGCCTCTACGGCCGGAACCGTGCCCGGTCCCCCGTGCGCCGCAGCCCGGAACGTCGGCGCCAGAAACTCGGAGTGTGGAGAGAAACACACTCAAACTCCTGCCCGACAGTTCGGCAGTGGCGGCAGTGGCAGTGGCAGGCCCGAGCCCCCCACGGCGGAAGAGGAGCCCTTCAGATGCCGGCATCCCAGGGTGCCGGGTGCCCGTTTACAGAACTGTGGGCGTCCGTTTAGATGAGGCCCCGCGTGCAAACTTTCCATCTCGGAACGACCCGAAAAGCCCGAGCCCTCGGCGGTTGGTGAGGCGGAGACGCTGAGATTTAGCCTTCATGGAAGGGGTCACAGCAGCCTCAGCAACCTGTGACCAGGGAAATGGGCCGTGGCGGTGGGCCCCGGTCTCGGAGCCGCTCCCGCGCGCGGGACCGGCGCCGCGAGGAGCGCGCCAGCGAGTTCTCCGGAGGACCGGACGTCCTGGGGCCCAGGGTCTGCAGCTGCGCAGCAAACATTTCGGGCAGGACCCGGCATGATGATGCTGAAGAACAAAAAGGAGCGAACACCGTCTCCGGACCCTCCCGGGCCGATGAAAAATCCAAACCCAGCTGCGAGCTCGGTGAGACACACGAGGATTCGGTTTCGCGCCTGCACATGCCCAAGGTGAAGAATCCCTTCTTCAGGGCAGACAGGCAGCCAGATGCATGTCGCGTTGCAGGGATTCAAGCTCCTGACGTGGGTGGCACGCAGGAGCCCTTCTCCCGTGGCCGCGTACTGACTACCAAGCGATGCCAAGTGGCCATACGTGGCCGTACCAAGCTATCTATCCGCCTCCAACGAAAGCAAGGTGCGAGCGGGAAAATAACATTTGCATGAATGGAGCATGACTTCCAAATTTCATGAGGTGCTCTGTCTGAAACTCTTTCACCGATCAAGCATTTGTCGTTCGTAAGAGCTCAGGGAGACTGCTTACCGGAGCTGCAGATTGTGCTTCTGAGGTCAGAGATGTCTTGAGTATCAAGTCGGCAAACATCACTAGCCTCTCGCAGCAGCTGTCTCCTAGTTTTGCAGAGCCATGTTGCAGTCGGCATTGCTGCTGGCAGTGCCCGTGCCTTGCTGCAGCGTTTTTGAGAAGGTTCTCTGCCCCAGCTGCGAAACGAGGCTGCCGGTGTTACCCATGGCCGCTCCGACTTTCTCGAAGGAGCGGTTGGCAGAGGTGATCTGAGATCTGAGCTCTGTAGACAGCAGGAGAGTCAGAGGTGGGGTCGCCGCAGCCTCAGAGAGAGATGCGGAGATGCGCCTTTTGCCTTGTGGCCTACATGAGCTCGGGCGAAGTCGGGTGCAAGACGGCTTGGACTGCGAGTTTTTGTGGGCTCCTCGAGGAACCGAGGGCCGAAAGCAGCGACAGCGGCTGCAGCGGCACCTCGCCGGGGAGGTCCGCCACTCAAAGGCCGAGGCCCGCCGGCGAGAGCTTGGCTCCGCTCGTCTCTTGGCCTGGGCGGCAGGCAGCGGCTCGCGAAAGCTTGGAGCTGGCGCTCCACGAGGAGCTGACCCGACTGCGCCATCGGCTCCTTCGCTCCCAGCGCCGGGCCGGGCCCCGAGCGCTGCATCGCCACGGCAGCGCCACGGCCCGCCACCTGCACGACCTGCCACGGCCTTCAGGTCTGGTCCGCGGCCTCGCCAGAGGAGCTCCAGCCACCAACTCGCTGCGCTTCTTCGCTTTTGCGGCCCGTGCTCAAAGCTGAGGCTGCAGGTGGTGTTAAGCCGATGGCCTCAGGGCAGCGCGTTCTTGCAGGCGGCGGAGGCAACGTCCCTTACCTCCATAGGCGGGGCCTGCACTACGCAGTGAGTTGATGACAAACAGAGCTCTTTGTAGGTATGGTCCTGACGGGTGTGCAGAACCTTTACAACACCTTCAAAGAAGATTGGAGCGAGCTGCAAGACAGCCTCGAACAGCTTCGCAAGGAGCGTCTTGTAGATCAATGAGTTTCGTACGAAGTGGACTTGAACTGAGGAGTTGGCGAGTCAAAGCCTTCAGATGGTGGTGAACTTGGAGATTGCCCAAATCTTACAGACATGGTCACACTTTATCACGAATTCGCTGCGAAACGGTGTTGTTGCATCGTGTCATTGCACTCTTGTGTGGGTTTCTCCTGCAGGTGCTGAAGCAGGCGCGGGATATCTTGTGCTTTGCTGTTGAAAAGGCAGACTGGCGTGGGTTCTCAAGCTTGACCTGAAGGTTACAAGACATGCAAATTTGCTCAACGATCAGTCTGCGGGTTTGCTTCAAGCAGTGACAGATAATTAAGTCATTGAGCGAAGCTGCAACAGGCCTGGGCAGAGCTCCACAAGCCTACACCGTGTCACCCTGCAAAGGTCTCGACTTCTCACCTATCGCTTCGCCTCAGGGTTAGACACGCACTGAAGGTTGACCTAGTGGTGACTGAATACATGCCAGATGCCAGCAGGGTGAGCCAATGTCCCTGTGTGAACCCCCAAATGATCCTTCTGCGTTCTATGCAACTGTCATGTCGTTAACAGGCGCACCTCCACCGATTGTACACTATTCCATTGTTGTTGGTGACTTGATCGTGTTCTTGTGTCCATGTGTGTGCTTTGGTCCGGGTTCTGACTTCTTCTAGATTCTAGCATCAATATGATGCTCCGAGCTTGCTGGAGCATGGTCTGTTATTTCTAGACGGACTTGCCATAGCATGGGTTTCTGTTTCAGAAGACGCTGCAATGCTAGAGAACGCTGAGAGCCAGAGCGGCGTGCTCGCAGCAGGCGGCGGTTCTGCTTGGGCTGTTGCAAGGCCTCCCGAACTTTGCGAGCTGCCTTCGGGAGGCTGCAGCGGATGGCCCCAGTTGTTGACTCGGTTTCGTGTTGCTCGAGGCCCTCAGTGACAGGCGAGAGTCCAGGGATGTCCTGGCAGCAGCCCCAGCAGCCCCAGCGCCTTGCCGAAGAGCTTCGGTTTCTCCCCTCCGCTGGGCCAAGGTGCGGGCTTCTACGTTTGCAGGAGCCAAGGGCCTAGATCGCGCCTGGAAGCAGCATCCCAGCCCCTTTGCAGGAGAATCCTTTGACGCCGAAGGCAAAGGTCAACGAAAGGGAGCCAGCGAACCCCTATCTGCACTCTGTAGAGGACTCCTTGGCATCAAGCTGAAAAGTCTCTTGGCGGAGACCAGAGACATGAGGAAGATCGTGGAGGCCGTGGGACACGCGAGCTCGCTTCCACGACGCGCACCCTGCACGGGCCCTGCACGGGCCAGGACAGCGAGCTCTCGCAGGAGACGACGTTGGATTGGTGCCTGGGGATTCGAGGCGCCTGGGTGATCAACGGCCCGGACCCCTGCGAGCTCCTGGCCAGGCGCCCAGAAGAGCAGAGCCTTCCCGAGTGTGGCGAGTGGTTCTCCATGGAGCCTCTACAGGTCCGAAGCTTCGACAGCCTGGAAGGCGCCAGGTGCTGCTGTGCCTTTTGGGACTCCCTTGTTCTTGGCTCTTTCAGGTTGGTTGTCGGAGTGGCTAGAGAGCGGACGGCCTCAGGAGGTCTTCCGTGAACTGCAGATCAGGCAGGATCCCCGTGGCCAATGGCACTGAGTCGAGGTGTTGTCTACACGAGCCGACCTTCAAGCATCGCATGCATTCGGTGGCTCACGCATGCTTTCTCTGGCTGTCGACTGGCTCGGTCAAGCTTGCCCAGCCCACTGCAGTCTTTTCAGTGGAATAACATCCTGACCGGTAGTCCGGTTTGGTAGGATCTTCTTCCAGTTTAGGCTTGACCTTTCGACACTACTTCTGCATTCCCACTCGCGTCGCGTTGTGTAGTGGCACATGATCTTGTTGCTCAGACCGGTGGACCCATTCTGCCGGTAGGCAGTTCGCCACCGCCCCCAACATCAGCCGTGGCTCGGCCCAGAGGTGTTCTTTAGACAGAGGGAGCTTAATGCCTGGCCCCTGCCAGGCATTGAAGAACTCAGTCAGCTCCTCCATCGCACCGCTGAGCTTTGCAGCGAAAGCGCGGTTCGCAATTTAACTCCGGATCCTGAGCTTCTCGCAACCCTTCAGGCGGTCCAGTCCTCAGCCGACACAGTGATGTTGTGTAGCACACTTGTGGGCGAAATGACAACTTCATGCTTTCTTCATCAAATCATCGATCGGATTACGAGTGGATCTGCTAAATCCGATTGAATGCGAACTTGTTACATATGCGTTGCCCATTTGGCTGAAACTCTCTGTCAATAATGTTCTTCTCTCCTTTCCTCGCTCTACCCAGACCTTCAGAGTGGCTGTTTCACCGGATGTTTTCAATAATCCCGAAAATTATCCCCCATGGGTTGCCCAAGCCGCGAATCTTCGGATGTCCCCGCCTACTTCGAGTCACCGTCATCGTCGAGCTCGCTTGCGCGTGCAGCTGCCATCCGCCCCTGCTGCCTGGGACCCCCTCCCGGCTTCTGCTCTCGGGCGCAGGTGCGGTGGAGGCGCCGCCGATATCCTTTCCTTGCACGCCGGCGCTGGAGTGGCTGGCCTCTGCGCGGCATGCGGGTGGGCGAGGCGTCTCATCCTGGCCCTAGCCTCACCCCATCGCCTGGAACTCCTTTGGGCGGCGAGCGGCCCGAGCTGATGGATCTGGACGGGGTTGCCGGCGCTAGAGCCCGATCCCCTGCTGGCGATGGCCGCCCTGCCCACAGCGGCTCTGCGGTTCGGTGTTTCTGCCCGGTGCCAGGGTGCGGGCGTGGAGACCCCACCCGAGCCACCGGTTGGTCCTCTCACCAGGCCATGCGGGCCCATTTGGACGACCACTGCTCGGGCACACTGGCTGGCGCAGTTCCGCAGGACTACCTCGACGCGCACAGTTTGGACCTCTGTCAGGAGTGTGGCCTGCTTGTCAACAGGCGCTGCAATGGTGTCCACCCTCGGTGCCGCCCTCAAGCTCGCCTGGCGGGCCCGCGAGTTGGGGCTCAAGGCGAGCCGACGCAGCACATGCCCACCTTGGAGGAGGTCATGGGGCACGGCGCTGCTACTGTCCGCCATGTCCCGCGCCTGGCCCGCGCTGCCTGGAGCCAGTGTCTCGCCCGCACCTTGGCCGCAACCCACTCCCGCAACACCGTTCAGGCTTGGGTGGAGTTGCTCATGCTCGCTCGCTGCACCTTGGTGGCGCCGTCGCGGGGCGGAGCCAAGCACAGGCACCAGGCTGCGCTGGCCACTAAACGGCGGTGCCAGAGATGGTTGGATGGGGAACGCGTGGAGCTCTGGGAGGAGTTGGCCGAACATAAGCCCCAACGCAGTGCAGCGGACCGCACCTTGGCGGCCAGGCAAAGCCACTGCTGCTCGCTCGCGGCGGAGGGTGAGCTCGCTCGAGCCTGCGCCGCCCTCACTGAGCCAGCTCCCGTGCCGGCCAGCCTTGAAGCCTTAGCGGAACTGCGTGACAAGCACCCCGCTGCCGCTGCCCCGGACCTTGCTGTGCTAGGGCCCGCTCGGCCGGCTCTGGTGCCCGAGTTTGATGATCAAGGCTGTGCGGAGCTTTCACCGAGCCAGCGCGCCCGGCCCTTCTGGCCTGCGGCCCGACCACGTGCGCGAGGCCTTATAGCCACCCCTCATGGCGACGAGGTCATCGCTCATTTAGTCTCTCTCAGCAACCTCTTTGCCAGGGGCGAAACGCCCGCCGCTGTGTCAGTGCACTTCGCGGGCGCCTCTCTTCACGCCCTGCCCAAAAAACATGGGGGCTTGCGGCCCATTGCTGTTGGGGAAACCCTGCGCCGCCTTGTTGGCAAGCTCTTGTGCAACGCGGTTCGGGTTGAAGCCCGCCGTCACCTCTGGCCTCTGCAGATTGGTGTGGCAGTGCCCAACGGTGCCGAGGCAGTCCGACCGCAACGCACTGGACTTGGACAAGTCGTGCTTTGTGTGGACTTCCGCAACGCCTTCAACACGGTCTGCCGCGGCAGCTTGCTTCGGGAAGTCCGGGCCAGGTTTCCGGGCCTGGCCTGCTGGGCCGACTGGTGTTACAGCTCCCCCTCAACCTTGCGCTTCGGCCAGCACACGCTGCAGTCCTGCTGCGGCGGGGGACCCGCTTGGACCGCTCTTGT